CGGTAATGTTACCCCTACACCATTCCAAAGATACAACAAGAATTTTGAAGGACAAGTTTGGTGTGTCGCTTTGGTGAACAACGTGGGCTGGGTGTGCCTGGTGCCAGGAGATTTGCACGAACATTGAGACGGTAGTTGACTCCGAGTTAATTTTAAGTTTTGAACGCAAAATGGCACGGTATGAGGCTCTGAGCAACCATTCAGGACTCTGACATGCAATTCACAGCACTTTGAGTGTTTGAGGCTCTGCCTGTTCAACATTTTCTATTAACAGGGATTGGTACGGGTAATGGAAGGTGAGTATTTAAGTTTGAGCCGGCCCGGTTCGTCGGCTAGGCACACCTCCTTTCTTCGTGGAAAGCTGGCTCACAACTCGTGTATCTGTCGGGGTCGACTCCAGAACAGAATTCAAGTTACCGTATTGCCGGGAGCTCATTTCATTTGATCGTCTGTCGAGCTCGACCCATCAAGTGTCCCCTCCTTAGCTTGATTCACAGAAACGCAGCAACAATTTGAGCAGTTGCCCGGTATGACCGACACGCAGCGTCATGTCCGGAATAATAAAACATAAAACAGAAAAACTAAGTACTACGACCTTGTTATGTCCGCACTATAAAATATTAATATTAAAAATATTGAAGGGAACACTTTTATTCCGGAACGGGGAATCGAACCCCGGGCTGCCGCGCACCCATATCAAAGGGGAGATGACGAAACATGAGAGGCGGTAATGTTACCCTACACCATTCCGGTGACATTTCAGTAATTCTGAAGGACAAGTTTGGTGTGTTGCTTTGGTCAACAACGTAGGCTGGTGCCTTGCACGAGCACTGAAACGGTTTGACTCTGAGTCAATACTAAGTTTTGACTGCAAAATGGCACGGTATATTCAGTACTCAGGCCCGCAGACGACTTGCAATTCACAGCACTTCGAGTGTTTGAGGCTCTACCTGTTCAACATTTTTCTGTCAACATGGGATTGGTACCGGTGAGTATTTCAGTTCGAGCCGGCCCGGTACCGGTTCGTCGACTGGGCATACCCACTTTCTTCCTGTAAGCTGGCGCACAACTCGTGTATTTGTAGTGAGCGCAATATTTATCCGACCGTAACAAGCCATCTAGTTCAAGTTGAATCTACGCGACCGTCACGGCAGTGGTTGAGAAAATGTATTCATTGGTGGCAGGCACGACGCCCTTCTAAAAGTAAAACAGTCCGTTCAATCATCCTCCGTGTTGAAGATAAAAAAACAAGACGTACCGGCGGGCAGGAGTGCGCCGCGATCGTCTCCACAACCGTAAAGTACAACGCCTGCCCTCCTTAGCTTGATTCACGGAAAGAGAACAAGCAATTGCCCGGTATTATGACCGGACATGTGTACTTCATGTCTTGGATATATCATACTGTAATTTAAAGGTAAAACAGAAGAACTAAGTACTAGTAATTACTGCGACCTTGTTATGTCCGCACTGTAAAATAAAAAAGTTGGACAGATATATTCCGGAACGGGGAATCGAACGCCGGGCTGCCGCATACTCATATCGAACGAGAGAGGAGGACATGAAAGGCGGCAGACGTGTGGGGCGGCTTTTGTGTGGACGAGCAGGCGGAGCTCGGCGCGGATGTGCGGCAGACGCTGTACTGGGTGCTGTGCGCGTCCGGCGGGTCCGGGTGCGGGCTCGCGGACAGGGACAAGTTGAGGAGGGAGGGAGATCGGTTCTTCATCGTGCGTGCGCCGAGGGGAGACGAGGGAGGAGGTTTTGGCGGCGGGAGGGGCGGAGTATTCGAGCTCAGAAGAGGAGGACGAGTGAGCTAGGGGCGCTTTTTTTCTTCTGGAATTTTTTATTTTCTCTGCAACACCGAACACGACTTTTATCCCTGCATGCATACGAACAGACTCCCGCAGATAGACATCGAAATGTAACACATTGGGTACTGTACTGTAGTCTGTAGAGAATAGCGAATCATGTTGTACTTGTTCGTTGTTGACAAAACGGTTCAACAATTGAACCAGAAATCCAAACCGTTGGAGCCCAATGTCGAAAGGCGTTCAATAAGTTGCATAGAACATCTGAATCAGACCAACTGTTCGGAGGAAAGAAATGAGAAATCAACTAAGTTAGTGGCATGCTGATACAGCGAAATAGATATGTATGTACACAGACAATCAGATTGAAATGTACGTTACTCCAAGTTTCCAGAGTCCATGCGGGGTATACCACATATATATGTGCGTTTCGCACTGCGCGCACTCTCGGCGGATACACTCACGCTCGCGCGGCCACCTCAGGGAAGATGCTGCCCGTACGTCTCCTTGTGCGGGCTCCACCCCCCGTGCGCGGGCTCTCGGCGTCGGCCTCCACGCCGAGCGCGTTCCCGGGCGCCGTGAACCCGTACGGCGCGAGGCGGATCGCGTCGCCGCCGCTTGGGGCGTTCAGGTCGTACGTGCTCGGAGAGAGGAGCTTTGACGACGCCGGCGCCGGCGCGGCGCGAGGCCGAACGCGGTGCGCGCGTCGCGGCTGCGGGGCTGGTCGCGGTCGCGGTGCGCCGCCGTGCCGACGAAGAAGCGCAGCGAGCCGAAGATCTCGCGCACAAAGTCCATGAAGTTTATCCTGCGCGCGCAGCGACGTCAGCGGCCAGCAGCGTGGGGCGGGCAAAAGTACGTGCGAGTCCCACAGCGGGCGCCATATGCTCGTCGGCGCGTGCGGCTTCCCTGGCGTCTTGTACTCGCTTACGTTGTACGACCATCCCATTGCGATCGCGAAGAAGACCATCTGGCACCGTGTCAGGTGTGCTGCAAGCAATAGCCAACTGGCCGGCGCACCTCGATGCAGATCGTGAGCGCGTTCAGCCCGTCAGCTATATTCGTTTCCGTCCAGTACTGCGACGCTACATGTGGTGTTATTGGTTCACGACGTACCTGAAGGCTACACTGGGCACGCACCTTTGATCACGCGCCCCTCGAGCATGCTGAACTAGCAACGGAGTGGGTGATCGGTGTGCTGACGCACAGTAGCAGACGCACGACAAAGGTTTGGTAGAATGTGAACATGACAATGAGCTTGATGCACAGGAACTTGGCGAGCGGCCGGCGGCCCGCCAGCTCTTCCTTCGTGAGCCCGTAAAACAGAAGCAGACCGTACAGCGCAACGCTGAAAATAATAAAATGAGGAGGCGACCAGGGGAAAGAGAGTCGAATGTACGTGATGCTGACAAAGTCGATTGCGGAAAGGTAGACGCTGGCGAAATGCGGGTTGTGTCCTTCGCTCTCGCAGAGGACACCGAGAATTTCGCAGATGATGCCCGCGACAGAGACCGCTGCAACAGAATTAGTCGGTCGCGTGACCGTTGGACGAGGAACCTGCAAACCTGGTCGGACGATGACATATTGCAGCACGGACCACTGTTCAACATCAACATCAGCCCGGCAGTCGCGGCCCGAGCGCAGCTTACTTTTACGGTGTACATGAAATACGGCTGCGGTCGACTTGAGCACAAAAATGGGAATTGGCGTAGCAACGCTTGGATGGCAACACACCTTTGTCGGGCGGTACCGCCACATGCAGAACGGAAACGGCAACGGCCGTTTGTCTTTCCGCGCCATGGCGCTCTCGGCGCTGTGCCCGGCGGACGTGTCGGCCACGAATTCAATTATCAGCAACCTGGGGTAGCGTTAGATGGAGCACGGTGTCGGCGCGTCCGTCACGCACAGGAAAGCGGAGATGGTCACTGCCTCGTAGGCTGGCCGTAGCCGGTGAGCAGGCAGACGGCGCTGTGGCAGGGAGGGGGCGTACCGACGTAGACGAGGGAGTAGTATGTGTAGCTCCGGAAGTATCGGTAGGAGAAGAAGGAGATGACGGCGTAGACGGCGGGCATGTATAATATCCGGATCCTTTCGTGGGGTCAGGGAGGGGGGCGGAGTTAAACGCATACATACACCTGTCGCTGCTCCCTCGGCACCGTGTAGTGCCTGTGCGGGGTACGTTGGACGTTGAGCGGCATCGTCGCGCAAACACGCACCGGCAATGCTGCCACACAGTAAAGCATGTTATGAGCACCGTCTATGCGGCGGCATCAGTCTCCGAGCAAAGAAAAGCAAAAGTAGACGCACTATAGCAGAACATCCGCCCGCTATCGCCCATCCTATCCTGAGGCCCGACTGAGCATCGTAACCCGGCGTGTGAAGTGCATGCTGCGTACGCACCGGTGCTGGTCCCAGTTGATGCCATTTGTGGAGTCCCAAAACTCGGACTGGTCGACGGTGACTGTGTTGTCGCTTGGGCAGCTCATCGTGGACGACCTCGGCCAGCGGAGGCGGATGTAGAAGAGGGAAAGTGTTTTGCAGGTCACAGCGGGTGATCGTTGTCACGCCGTGATCGTGATCCCCGTTTGCACGTGAGGCCTTGAACAAATATTCCAAAAATTTAATAAGTACAACTCCGACGCTAGATGGCTGGAAATTATGCTCAAAACTTCGGACAAAACTGGTCCTTTGAGGGGGGATGCCATCAAGAAGGCCTGCAAATTTGGCAATAACACATGACCTACTACCTTCACCTGTCGCGAAATTCTCGCTGTTGATCCTGATGTGCCCCACCGCACTCCACCAGTACTCCACCGCGGTTGATCTATGTCGCTGATGACGGCTCAACAATTCAGCTAATATGTGCGGCTTCTTCCTGGTGGTCCGAACCATGCCGAAATTAAGTATTGCCAGCTGTCTCTAGCTCAGTTTTTCCTGGTAGACACGGATGTCTGCCACGGGGTCGACTCCGGAATTCAAGTTACCGTATTGCCGGGGGAGCTCAATTCAGTTGGTCATCTGTCGAGCTCGACTGGCTTGATTCACGGAAACGAAACAAGCAATTGCCCGGTATGACCGACATGCGTCATGTCCTGGATATAGAACACCCCCGTGGTGGTAAAACAGAAAAACTAAGTACTGCGATTGTTATGTTATGTCCGCACTATAAAATATTAAAATGTGGTGGAAGTAGGCACATTCCGGAACGGGGAATCGAACCCCGGGCTACCGCGCACCCATAGTATAGGCTGCTATGAGAGGTGTTACCCCTACACCATTCCAGATATATCTTAACAATTCTGAAGGACAAGTTTGGTGTGTCGCTTTGGTCAACAACGTCAGGAGCATTGAAACGGTGGGTTCTTGACTACGAGTCTATTCTTAAGTTTTGACCGCAAAATGGCACGGTCTGAGCACCATTCAGTACTCAGGCCTGCAATTCACAGCACTTTGAGTGTTTGAGGCTCTGCCTGTTCAACATTTGTTTGTCAACGTGGGATTGATACCGGTAATGAAAGATGAGTATTTCAGTTTGAGCCGTCCCGGTTCGTCGACTGGGCACACCCACTTTCTTTGTGGAAGCTGGCTCACATGTCGTACGTATAAATTACGAGTGATGCGACGAGTCATATTATTGTACGCGTAACAATTTATTTAATATCGATTAAATATCGGTTCGTCCACTGAAAACTCACGCGCCCCGCACGTCGTAGTAAGTCTGCATGCCGCAGATCCGCTTGAAACAATGAGATCTAACAATGTCATTTCGTTACGTGACATATCTGACGACTACTTAGCATGCAACGGGTTCTTGAGGCCGCGTGAACATTCAATGGAGCGGGACCCGGACTGACCCGGAGGAGATAAATTATTCTGCGGACCGACTCAATGATGGTGTTTACTAAACGTTTATGGTTAATAAAATGCATTCGACTTACAATCGCCAGCTCAGTCCGACTTTGCGTCACATTGGGCTGGGAACCGGATCTCCCCGGCCCTAGCCGAAAGGCTTCCGTCAGCATATACATACTGTAGTATTTAAATCAATTCGTATGTCACAGGTCACAGGCCTAAAATTTTACGAATTTTTTCGCCCTGGTCACAGGTCAACCGGTCCATATACGAAAACTTCAAACAAGTCACAAATCACCAGAAAATGGCCCAAAAATTGAATTTTGCCTCCGCGCCGCCTGCTTGTGAAGCGGCTCCGCGGCATTCGCACAAGGTGCCAATTGCGACAGCTGTGGAAGTAAATAGGTTGGAGGGAGGGTAGTGAGGACTTTTCGGCCCATCCGGTATCTTCAGCTTGTCTGGAACAAGAAAATTGCAATGCTTATGTGCAGTGGGCAAATGGTATCAGAGCCTGTTTTGGAATCCCAGGTTATTTTAAAGGTTGGCCATTCTAATTTCTATAACTACCTCAGGCTGGTCATTACTGGCAAGGCAAATGTGTCGCACGCTGTGTCGGGTAGATATTAAATCAGTGCACAATTCGTGAATATCTGAGGCCTGACAACTTTCGGCTGATTTACGAAAAAAATTCGGGTGTCACGCTTGACCCGACCTAAATACGAAAAGTCAATTTCGTACGGCGTGGTCACAGGTCACAGGTGAGTACGAATTGATTTAAATACTACAGTATACATGTTTGTTCGGCATTTTTGTTCCGTCCTGTTTCATGCATGTATCTTGACGGAACAACCATTGGTGAGTTGTCAAGTTCATGTTAATCAAATACTAGAATCAGTCATATCTACAGCTACGCATAGGTGTCTGGCGGTCGGGGTCGGCCATTTGTAGAACATAGTGGAATGCAGTGAGGGAATCTGATGACTATGTATAACTTATCGACAACCATCTCGCATCTAATCATCACTCGAGCCACATCAAACTAGTATTGCACATGGGCACTGCAACTGCCGCCTCGTGCCTCGAACCTAGTAAATGTATTCGCCCACGTTAATTGGAAGGGGTAAAACTCGAACAATGGAAGGAACTACAAAAGGCGCGCCGTCTTGTCTGCCATTTTCGTATTACATCTGCGACGCGGGATCTAACTCTGATCTCAGTAGTTCTGATTCCATTACAACACACAGCAGACAGTGTGCAGGAAGCCATATCCTTGAATAGCTCCGCATGATAAAAGCCGGGCATGTTCTTACCATCCATCATCTACTAGTATTTCCTTCTGGCACTCTCAGCTTGAATGCGCAGTTCCAACTCCACTCTCGCTACAG